GGAAGAAGGCAAGAGGATCACAAGTTCAAGGCTTCCCTGAGCTATATATCATGTTCAAGGTCGGTCTGAGTAGCATTGTAAGAGCCTATCTCAAAATAAAAACTAATGCGGGGGAGGCTGGAGAGATGGGTAAGAGCACAAACTGCTCTTGTAGGAAACCCAAGTTCAGCACAGCATCCATGTCATGTGGCTCAGAACTATCTTTAACACCCTCTTCTGGACTCTATAAGCACCTGCACTCATGTCCACACACCCACGCATAGAAACACTCCCAGACACAGACTTTAAAAATTTTTTTTTAAATATCTAGGGGTGGATTAGCACCGCAGAACACTTTCCTAGCAGGAACAAGGCCCTAGGCTCAACCCTAGCAAGGGACTGGGGACCCTTAACAAAAAGTGAGTTTTAATTTGTTTTGTTACTTTGAGTCAGGGTCTTTTTTTTAAAGATTTATTTATTTATTATGTATACAGTATATTATGTATATATGTCTGCAGACCAGAGGAGGGCACCAGATAGTTGTAAGCCACCATATGGTTGCTGGGAATTGAACTCAGGACCTTGGGAAGAACAGCCAGTGTTCTTAACCTCTGAGCCATCTGCCCAGCCCTTGAGTCAGGGTCTTACTCTACCTGGCTTGAGCTCACTGTTTAGATTAGGCTAGCCTGCAACTCACAGAGCACCACTCGCTTGTCTTCCAAGTGCGGAGATTAAAGGCTTGTGCTACCACACCCTGCTCAATATCAAAGACTTTTTGAAGAAAACCACCAATAGAAGTGGCCAGAGAAAGAATTAAGAGAAAGTGCCTGTTGCCATCACTGGTCTTCCCCAAACTCCAGTGAACCATGAGATGGGCCCTGGTGGGCTCTAATGTGGCTGAGGTTTTTAATGTTCGGTCCTTGGATCCCTTCCCATTTTGTGTCCCCCACTTCAGCTACCTGGAATGGGGCCCATTAAGCAGCTGTCAGAAGCTCCAGGTTTAGACTTTAGCATATCACCATTCCAGAGACCTTGTGCAGTAGGGACTCTCTGGCACCTGGGATCAGAGTCCTGTGTACCTCAGACAAGCTTGCTATACTTCTCTGTTCCCTAGAGGAACTTGTGGTCTACCACGTACTCTCCCAACTTAACCTGCCTAATTTAGGAACGTCAACTCCTTTCTTGGACTAGAAGAGCCAGACCTTGTGCTTCTGAAGAAGAGCCCAAGGATGCACCTCAAAAAAAAAGAGCACCCAATTGAATTTCAATTTCCAGCTTGGTTCTAACTTAATCTCCCCTAACATTTCTGATCCTACAAGTCCACACACATGTTTGGAGCAACCACAAAACTGAGGTTCTGGTAGCTGGAGATCTGCCTGAGAATCTCACGTATTTGTTGAAATTCCAGGCCTAAGTCCTTAGAAGGCAGACAATTCAGACACTCTAATGCCTCTGGGAACCTCCAGTTTGGAAGATTTTCAGTCTATAGTCAAGAGCTCAAAAAAAGTTGAGAGTTCAGCAGCAGGAATTCAGCTTTGTAAATGTCCTTGCCCCTAACCACCTAGAGATGTTTCTAAATGATTGACACTGGGCACCAAGACCCCAGGTGCAAAACAGACATTATGCTGCTCCCAAAATACAATCCACAAATCCCTTCCGTGGTTCCCAAGGATAGATGATGTCATTTCCAAAAGTTGGCTGTGTGAGTCAGAGCTGCAAGACCCAGCCCAACGCTTGGAAAGGAAAGTCTCCATATGTGTCATTGAGGACAAGAAGAGGAAGTAAGAGTTGACCCTTGGCCAGTGGCCTTGTTCTGGAGAGGAGACCTCCTTCAGCTTGGGGATGGGGAAGCCAAAACTCAGTCTGAGCTCATCAAGTAAGAGGGCCACAGGGCAAGGGGACTGGCCTAGGATCAGAGGCTGAGCCTGCAAGAGGCTGCCTGACAAGGCCTTATCAGAGGGTCTGCTTAGAGAAAATCCTGGAGGCAGAATTTTTGGATTTCATGGGCCAGTAAAACTTCAAAAACTGAAATTTGAGGAACCAACAAAAGGTTGCCAACTTTCTGTGTTTTGCCAAATAAGGAAACTGTAAAGCCCAGCTACCATCTATCCTCATCATCCACCCATGACAAGACAGAAAGCTGTAACCTCAGCATATTTTAGCACATCTCCCTTCACTAAAAGAAGTCCTTCACATGGAACACATTTTGCTTTCTTAAAAAGGAGAAGGAAAAAAGGTACATTCTCCTCCTTACTTTCCTTATTTTAGTTGTCACAGACCAAAACTTGAAAACTTGGGACTCAAAGGTCAGATGACCCTTCCATGTCTATTTGTAGTTTGAGCCTAAAAGTTAAGAAGAAAGACAGTAAACTTTGGAGATTTAGACATCTCTCTGTGCTGGATATAGGGGTGGCGAGGGCAGGGGGGGGGGACCACAAGCGGGTTGGTTAGCTTGGCCACTGAGACGATGCCATGCCAACCACGAAGCACCAGAAAGGGTTTGATGATTTTATGAATTAATGTTCACTGAGTCTCCATCTCCATCCTGGACCCCCGTGTTTCTATGAACTCCTGAATTTTATGGTCCTTTTGACTGTTTAATATAAGATGAAGACAGAAAGATCATTTAGCCCAGGTGAAGAATTAAATTAAATTAAAAGATATACAGTAGACTGTGGGTGTGGCAGCAAGCATCAAGTCAGCAAAACACAGGCAGAGGCCTTAGAGAAGGGGTTTCTCCACCCTACCAAGCAGCTTCCCCACATAACTGGGGGTGAGCAAACAGAGGAGGGTTCATACAGTATCAAGCAGTGATGGGGGATATTTGATCACACTATGAAACCTGAGTTTGCATTTGCATTAATTAAATAAAATTAACCTTGGGTCAGGGGGCTGAGTTAGCAACTAGTTAACAGAAAGTAATCCTGGAGCATCAGGAGGCTCTGAAGAGACAGACTCACCAAAAGGAGTAGGGAGAGATTTGGAGTGGTGAGGCTTTTTTTTGTTTGGCAGAGAGGAATGGTGCTCTCTTTGGGAGACACCAGCAAGGAGAGAAGGTTAGCTAGGTGCTACTCAACCTCTCTGAGCTAGCAGGCTTTCACCCCAGCCTTTGAATCTCAAGTCTTATTTATAAATAGAACCATAGAGATTTAGTTAAAGCTACCTTTAGTGGCAGTGGCAGAGCCAGTGTCTTTGGGAACAGAATTCTTGCCAGGCTGTAGCCTAAGTGGCTGGGCCGCTGCCAGAGAAGCAAGCTGGTAACTGCAGAGTTGCAATTGCTGGCTGAAGTAGCAGTAGATTAAGGCACAGCCACCATACTGAAGACAAAACAACAAAGCTGAGAAGTGAGAGTGGCCAGAGGGATGTGCACCAGCACTAGAGCAATGGTTAGGAGCCAGATCTTCCCCTTCTTCCCACCTGCTTACACCCTGTAAGTAGCATCTTCCAGTCTCTTCCTCATCTGCACTAGGGAAGTAGGTGCTCTCTGCCTTACTGCTGTGTGGACACGGTGCTGATGCCCCTCACTGGCTAGGACAGCAGAGTGGGCACACAGTGCTGATGAAAGCAGTGTGGACGCGGTGCCAATGCCCCTCACTGGCTAGGACAGCAGTGTAGAGACAGTGCTGATGAAAGCAGTGTGGACACGGTGCTGATGTCCTCACTGGCTAGGACAGCAGTATGGACATAACAGTGCCGTGGGTCTGGGCTGGAAGACTGATATAACCAACAATTGTTACGGTTAATGTGGGTCAGGACCATACACAGCAGCTTCTCCATAGCAGTCAACACTGGAAATTCTATTTTGAAGAAGCTGGGGACACAAATAAGAAACATTTTCTTTAAATTCCCATAACTTCAAAAATAACTTCAGCATGCAAACTGCTAATTACACTGTTAATGAAGAGTAGCATGTTTGCTCCAGCCTATCCCTGCCCCAGCCTGCCCCCAACAATTCAACGACATTGAGTTCTTGTGTTCAAAATGCTTTTGGCAGACCCACACTGCCTATCACACATCTATTTCCTCAAAGCCATTAGGCAGCCCTGGTTTTCAGTTCCAGATTACATCTCCACAGGGAGCAGAGATTTCCTGGGTACTTGAACATCAGCATTTGGGGGTTCCTCTGCACCTTCTCCTATTCCTTTCCAACCGTTCCAGGTCCATCTCTAACTCATATAATGCATACCTCATCACCCCAAAATCTGCTTTTCAAAACCCACCTCCATGCTCTTGCTGAGTCCCATTCACTCTGGTCCACCCACCATCCCAGCCAGACCCCTGCTAAATCCTTCTTTGCAGCGTTGCTGCCCACAAGGTAAGCTCAAATGGGCCTTGGCCGCTAATCAAAGCTGCCTGCCTATCCCTGGCTATACTAGGTGGTTTGCCGAGATCTGCCCCTTGCAGCTGGTAACACACAAACCCAGAGCTGCATTCAGCTAGCCTCACCCTCTGCCGCCAACCACCCATCCAAATATCTGTATCCAGGCATAGTGCCAGCCCCACCCACCTAAGGCATTGGCCTCCCTCATGCCCTGCACTGAAAAGAAAGTGCTCCTGGCATTTGTCTGTCACAGCTCTGACTCTTCCAGTGGGTTCAAAGTAACTGTACATGGAAATCATGCAGGGAGTCACACTGGTTAGTTAGCTGCACCAGAGGGGAACCAAGTGCCTGCCACCAAACCTCACCCATGGACATGAGTTTGCTAGACACTCCAGTACAGACCTGCCTATGTAAATTCCCTCTGTGATTGCTACCCCAAGTACAGAAATGTTCATATATCATTCCAGAAATTAGGCATCTTCGTGGAAGACCCCAAGGATGAGCGATCTAGGATTGTGTTTGTTGGGAGGCAGAGGGGGGGGGGACACCTGAAAGGGAAAGGGGTGAAAGGAGACTTGCATCCTTGCTATGAATGGATACCCCCCCTTACTGTGACATAATCCTCTCTCCGACGTTCCCTGAAATGGCTTGGGTAGTCCCAGTCCTTCCTACTTAAGACCCCCAAGATCCCTAATTTTACCTTTTCCGTGCTGACACTCAGAACCCAGCTGAGATGCAGAGCGCTGACCGAGAAAGAGAGACGTGCCTGTGGTGGCAGCTGTGACAGCTGCCTTGGCTTCAGCTCCCACGAGAAAGAGAACGAGCCCTGGAACGAAGAGTTTCCCCAGCCTCCATGCAAGTCTCTTGCATCAGCTCTCTCTCTCTCTCTCCCTCTGCTCCAGCGTTACTGAAGAAACACTGGCTGAAAACCTGGGAGAAAGTCTTTCGAAAAAGTGGAGTGTGGAATCTGAAGCTGCAGGTTGGCTGGGCCCCATGTAAACGAACACACACCCCTGCTCCTCAGACTGCTGCCTGCTGCCGCCTACTGCCGCCTTCGGAAGCTTCTGGCTTGCTCCTGAGTACCAGACATCCCCTAGCCGCAGCAGCTCCCGAGAAAGCAAGCTGAGCACGCACAGGGAGAGAGAGCCCTCTCAGACGCTGTCTGCCACTCTCCCGGCCCCAGTCCCCTCCAGGAACTCAGGTCCAGGGACCAACGCCTTCACAGCCATAACGGTACTAGCCAAACTCCCAGCTCAGGAATGGCGTCTTGGAGACTTTGTCTTGCATCCAGGAAGAATGTTCTTTTATGGATCTGGTTCTAGATGGGGTCTGACATACAGAGAATTCTAAACACACCTCTTTCCTTTTCCAGTGTTCCACACAGCACCCTCATTGGGCCACCTCCTTCCCTTAGGTTTGCACACAGAACACAACCAGGCCATGTGACAACAGTCGTGGTGACAAATGTGGAAGCCAGAAATGAAATGGCCTGGCAAAGCTGGGGAGGACCTACCAGCCCAACTTGGCATTCCTGGCTGGCGAAATGGAAAGAGAAGCCTTTAAGGCCAGATACTCTACTCGCTGATTTGGTGGAATGGTCCTTGACTTCTCTGAGTCCGAGTTTCTACATCTGTAAAAATGATGTTTATGATGCCACCTCTGAGTAACAGTTCAGTAAGAGTGTATCTCAGCCAGGAGGAGCACATTAGACACTCAGAGCTCCCTCCCCATTGCAACACTTGGCTTTATTGGTTTTCTTCTGACTCAAGACGAGACCAGTCAATTGCCTTACTATTTACTGCTCCTTCAAGGGTTGGTTTCATGTTTCTCCTCCAGCTTTTTAACAGTCGCCCTGGTGACCTCCAGAGTTTCCCCGGCACAGCAGTCACAGTGCAATGCTTCATTTCTGCCGGGGGAAATCTTTGATCTGTAGACCAAGGTCACAGACTCACTGCAGACCTCCCTGCAGCTGTCTCTCAAATCTCTATCCTCAGGCTCCAGGCTTGCTCTCCATGAGTCCAACTTCCTATTGGGCATTTCCCGAAGGGGCAGCCAGGCTTTATCTTAAACTTAGTCAAATGAAGCTGGACTACCCTCTGACGACATTATAGGGTTGATATGGCATGGTCCCCAGGACACAGTGAGAGAAGGTGGAAGGAATTGAGTATTTCACTATTTGAAATAAAACAACAGGGAGCATGTGACTGGAGATTCCAGGGATTTATGCATACTAAATGAATACCCTACCAATAAGCTTCAGTATTGGGTTAAAAATGGTCTATGACTACCAATATGATCACACTTGCCCAGAGCTGAAGTCAACAAACGTGTTATATAAAGGGTTAGAGTGCAGATGTCTCACTCTGGAGCATAGGGTCTCTGTTACGCCCAATCAGCTCTCCCGATGTGCAAGAGCAGCCAAAGGGACAGAAATGGGCCAGTGTGGATGTGTCAAACAAACTCTCCTGTGCTCACTACGGTTTGAATTTCATATGGCTTTTATGCATATAAAACAATGTACAAGGGCTGGAGAGATGGCTCAGCGGTTAAGAGCACTGGCTGCTCTTGTAGAGGACCCGGGTTCAGGCCCCAGCACCTACAGAGCTGCTGAAAAAATAATACTCTTATTTTGGTGCTTTCCCAGGCATTTGAAATATAAATACCATTCTTAGCTTACAGATGATACAAAATTAGGTAGTAGGCCCACAATCATTCTTAGCTGACCTGCTCCCCAACTTAGTATATCTTAGGAAGGGCACAGTAGGCACAGGTGATGGCTGCCACCTCTAAGAAGGGAGCTGGGGCAGATCTGAGATAGGTAGGAGGGAGGTTTGCATGGGCTAGTCTTCCTTTTGCTGTTGTTGTTGAGATAAGGTCTATGTAGTATTAGGTAGCCTGGAACTTGAAATGTAGACCAAGCTCATCCCAAACTCACAGAGATCCACCTGCCTCTGCCTCCCAAGCACTAGGATTAAAGGCATGCACCATGAAATACTTTTCTGAGCCATCTGAGGGCCATAACCAACACGGTAGAAGCAATCTTCAGTGGGTTCTCTGTTTTCTCCCTTTCCTCTATGTCAATGTCTTTGTAGCCAAATGTACTAACAACTCAACTTTGACTTACTCCTTTCTAACCTCTCGCCCCACAGGCCCTCCACTCTCCGAGTAGTTTATACCATTCCCCACTCATCGGCTGTTCTCAAACAGTCTTGTGGAGTTTTTGTTTATTTTTTTATTTTTGAGACAGGGTTTCTCATTGGCCTTAGAGTTCACCTAATAAACCAGGCTGGCTGGTCAGAAAGAGAACCACAGGGATCCCCCCATCTGTACTTCCCATAGCTGGGATTACAAGTGTATATGACCATGAGCAGTTTGCCTCAGCAATCTTTTCTCCCTTGTGAAAACCACGGACAAGGAGAGACTAAAAGGCTGGGATGGAGCTCAGCAGGTAGAGAGCTTAGCAGACACAAAGCCCTGGGCTCAGTCCCAGATACCGAATAAACTGGGTGTGACAGCACACACTGATAAACCCAGCACTCACAAGGTAGTGGTAGCAAGTGGATCAGAAGTGAGGTCATCTCAGCTACGTAGTGAGTTTGAAGCCAGCTTAGGCTGCCTGAGATGCAGGGGAGGGACCTGAAGCATCTTAAGGAATGAAATTCTTTTGCAACTCCTTGCTTTCCCTCTGGGGTCCTACACTTGCACCAAGTAGGATGCAAAGCTGCCTGGTCTCCATCTCCCATCTTGCTGTAGACAGGGACACAGGGCAAAGGCCCACTTAGAAGACGCCTGTGGGATGGCTCAGTGGGAAAGGATGGCGCCCAGAGCTCAATGACCTGAGTTTGATACCTGGACTCTACGTGGTGAAAGAAGAGAACCTGCTCCCAAATGTCATCCTCTAACCCACACACATGCACTGCAAGGCAAGTGCATGCATGCGCAAGCATACACAAAATAAACAAGCGTGTTCAATGAAAAGATCCATGGAGGAGAAAAACTGGTTCTGAGACACATGACCAGACAGGACCACACAAAAGCCAACACCTTTGGGGAAAGACCAATGCAGAAAACAAACAAACTAATAAATGCATAAATACACAGATAAATAAGTTTTAGGGAGAAGACAGATGTCAGAACTGAGAAGAAAGGTGTCAGAGTTGAAACTGAATCCAACGAAACAGGGCTGTGCTTTAGACAGGGAAGCCAGGAGAAACTTCCTCTAATTCCACCCTCTGGGACTTTACAAGTGAGAACTCCCACTCTTGGGGGATTTGAGTGACCCACAATCACAAGGCAGGAAAAGCAGAGAGATGACAGTTCGCCTGCCCCAGGTGTGAGGTACAGACAGCAGGCTCATAGTTTTGGGATGCAAAGTAGCCATTACTGGAGAACGTGGCCACAAAGCTTTTTGCTTCTACACATTTGCTTCCAGTTCAGGAACTAAGCAGAAAGATTTCCTGAATGTGTAACCAAAAGCTTAATGAAAACTGCCAAATATAATAAGAGTTTTCAAGTATTCTTTCTAAAACATCCAAAAGATTCTTAAAGACAGACTCATTGTGTCTTGGGATCAGAGAACATCTTTGCTCAGAAGTGTGTATTGAGGACCATGGAGAGGACTTGGTGAAGTGAGACATTTGCACTAGACGTGCTTGCTAAGCTCTGTCTCCAATCCCACAGGGGAAGGAAAGAACTGACTCCTAGAAGTTACTCTCTAATCTCCACACATGTGATGCGTGCACACACACACAAAATAGAACATTTAAAAATACAAATAAAATAAAAAATAAAAATTTTTTAATGTTTGTCATAGGGTTGGGGAAATGGCTCAGGGCGTAAAGGGCTTACTGCACAACCATCGGGATCTGAGTTTAGATCCTGCCCCACATAAAAGCCTGGGCATTGGAACCTCTGGTGTGGTGGGAGCCGGCAGATGCCGGGGGTTTGCTGGCCAGCCAGCACACCCCAAATAACAAGCTCTAACTTCATTAAAAAAGTCCTGTCTCAACGAAGATGAGGTGGAGAGTGACTGAACACACAGGACAATGGCCTCTGCCCCCACATGCACTCACACAAGTGGTCATACCTGCACACACACTGGCACACACACATTCAACACAAGCACACACGCTTAATTGACTAAAACTGAATATGATTCCTTTCCATGCTTCCCAACATGAAGGGAATGATGTAAACAGAATTACTTGTTTCCTTGTCTCCCTCTCTTCCTACCCCAACTCCAAGACAAGGTTCATGACATGGAAGAGAGGAATAGCACACAGACCCTTGCCAGGTTCTGCCCTCTCTGGGCATCCATCATTCCTTCTTGGCATGGGGAAAACAGACCAAAAAAAAAATCTAGACCCAAGATGCAAACCTCTCAGACACCAGAGGAGGAACAGTGTGGCCTATCGCTCTCTCAGACATGGCCGTCAGCCTTTTCAGGAGTCTGGCTGAAGGACTCACAGCACTCGGGAGTCCATGAGGCAGGCCACTGCCTGAGCAGCGCAAATGCAACATTTACCTGAGTTTTGGCAAGTTCTCTGCACACTCTAGCTTTTTGGCAACATTTGGCTAGCTCAACCAGGAGGACAAGGAGCAGGATTGGGAATCTTTTGTCCCAAATCCCAGCTGTCCTAGCCTTAGGCATATGGGCTAAAGAGTACTTGGGTAGGGAAGAAAGGCAAACTGGAATGCAGCCCGCCCCAGCCATGAGCAGCAAATCTCCAGCATGTGGCTTCATGCCATTTGAGGAGCTTGCAAACATTCACAAGCTGAGTTCCCCCCCTCACACCCCTCCCCAACTCATGTGCAAACTCAGCTTCAACTCCTGGGTGCTCCTAGCCGGGCGTTGGTGGCGCACGCCTTTAATCCCAGCACTTGGGAGGCAGAGGCAGGCGGATCTCTGTGAGTTCGAAGCCAGCCTGGTCTACAAGAGCTAGTTCCAGGACAGGCTCCAAAACAATACAGAGAAACCCTGTCTCGAAAAAACAAAAAAACAAAAACAAAAACTCCTGGGTGCTCCTGACTGGGCAACTGGAGCTCTAGGTCTGGATGCTGCAGAGTGGCTAGCGTTCCCATGAGCTCTCCCTCCACACTGCATTACCAGGTCCTGGGGGACATTGGTGGCCCCCACCATAGTGCATACCACCTGTCATACCCAGCACTTTCCAGCCTCCCTGGCTAAGGGACTCTGGACACTGGGATGCCCTTGCCGGTTTCTTGAGAGAGTGCACACAGGAAGTTACGCT